AGAGACAACCTTCACTTGGTGCAGCCACGGCTGCCCAAGGAGTAGATTGAAGGTGGCTGGAACATCCAAGACATGGAACTCGATGTCCTGCTACGCCGGGCCAACTTGAGTCTTGATCTGTACCATCCCCATCACCTCTCGACTGGTGTTATCATAGGCCCGTATCACCTGGGCTGGAGGCAGAAAATCTACGGGCTTCAACCCGATAGCATACGCCGTTCTCGACGGACATACGTTGATTGTAAATCCTGTATCGACCAAGACCACCGGTATCCATTTCTCTCTACACTCCACAGAGATATAGAGCGGTTTCTTATGATCAGAGCCCATGGGTGGTAGTTCTTTGTCTCTGAAGGTCAAGGTCGGGGAAGCTCTCCCTGGAAAAACCAACCCTACAAACTGCTCAGGAGTTGTATCAATTGAAAGCTTGGCCCTATCCATGGCTGTAAGGACGGCTTGTCTGTGAACCCTTGAGGCCATAAGCAGTCCCCAGATGGAGATGTCTACTTGAATTTTCATTAGCTGTTTCAGCACAGCTTCCTCCTCGAGTAGTTTGTCTTTCTGCCTCTCTGCTTCCTTGTCCTTTCCGGATGCCTCTGGTTGGTCCAAATGTGGGGGCTTGAAATACTGCCCACTTCAAGTCATATGGTCGACCTCCTCGATGTACCAGGTGTCATCCGATTGATTCTGCCCCCAGTCCTCGTCAGTGTGGGCAAGACGCAAGTCATCGTCTTCCCACCACATGCCCTCGGCAACCGACAAACAGCTATCCGGTTCCGCTACGGTTGTTTCCGTGCTCATAGCACATTCCGTCCCCGCAGGGGCCTTGGCTTTTCTAGCCCTTTCATCATTCTCGATTTTCTCTTGCTCAAGCCGCTTCAATGCAGCCTGCTGTTCAATGTCTGCTGTATACAATTTGCCCAAGTCCCGAGCAAAATTCTTCGCACCAGTGCTCTCCAGCGAGTCCTCCTGATTCTCAGCCATTCCGGCCATCTGGCTCGTTACTGAGCCACCCTGAATTATCTGCCGACCCATTCAAGTCAAACCAGTTGATGTTCACATCCCCCGGGTCTTGCTCATTTAAGAACTACAAATTGGCAATATCCTCCCCCAACTCTGCTAGGTCATCTAGCCCCTGACTGGGTCCATCCTCCTGGACCACACTGATCTTTGCCCCAACTGGCCACTCTACCCTCGGCTTAGCCTGATCAAATGGCACAATATAACCACTCGGGTTGTGTGCTTCCTCAGTAAAACCCCCAGATCCCTCAGGTTCTGAATCAGTATTCCCATGCTCCTCCAAGGTAACCCCAGTTTTTCTTCGACAGTCACCATCACCAGCTCGGGTTGGGTTAAGGAGGTGCTCAACATGCACAAGTTTGTGCTGTCTGGGATGAACACCTCGGGCTTAGGTAGGTGGGAGGGTGTAATGTATATGCTTGGGTCAAACAGGATGGTCGTGGTTTGGATCAGGTTTATCCGTCTGGGTGGTGGAGCTTGGTTATGTGGTGAGAGTGGGTTGGTGGTGACATTTGGTTTGTCGGGAGGTGCAATCACCTTGTTACCAATGAGATCTTGAATCTCATGACGGAGTCGGAAGCAGAAGTTGGTGTCATGATCGTGTTGTTGGTAAAAGGAACAGTATTTGGCCAGGTTATGGGAAGAAAGAAGTTTGTCTGGTAATGGTCGCGGCTCCAGGGGCTTCAAATGCCCTTTCTTGATTAAAACCCCCAGGGCTTTGGACAGAGGCATGTACAGTGGAGTAAAAGTCCTCTAGCCTCAGGGTGGATATTTGGTTGTTTGTGAGCTAGTTCCAGACGCACCGGTGAAGAGTGTAGCTATTTTTCACGTGGTGGAGACCATGCCAACTTTTGAAGTTCTAGCAGCTGCAGCACTACTCGCGCCTGCATTCGAATTGTGGGTAAATGCTCTCTTGGGCTGTTCCTTATCCTGGTCGATCAGACCCTGCTTCATAGCATCTTCAATCTGTACCCCAATCTCATGTAAGTCAGCAAAGGTGAAGAGGGGTAAGACGATCATTTTCTGCATCAACTTGGGTTGAAGGTTGCGCACAACCATTCTTATCTGATCTTTCTCAACTGGCCGAGTTGTCATCATGGAGGCCTTAGCCCTCCATCGAGTGACAAAATTAGAAAAGCCCTCTTTCGGCTCTTGTCTGGTCACCTCGAGATCACGGGTCGTGACCTCGATCTGGGTGTTGTATGCATATTGCGCGACGAAAGACTCATCCATCTCCTCCCAACTTCTTTTCACTGAGTCCTCCAGCTTGGCGTACCAGATGGCCGCAATACCCGATAGGGTCCGACTGAAAAGTGATAGTTTTTGGAGTCTCGTCAAGCCCATCGGGTGTAGAATATCCGAGAACAGCCTCAGAAGAACCATAGGATCGCCAGAACCATCAAAACGGTCGATGTGTGGCATCTTGAACCTGTCCGGCAAAGTCACCACCGAATCAGTGTACCCATCTTCTATATCGGGGATCAAGTTAACTCCCTGGGCTCGCTTGAACAGCTTTTCAAGCTTACCTATTTTCAGTGCCGTTGGATCCACCTCAAATTCAAATGGTGTGTCCACTGGATTAGCCGATGCTTTAGACATCTGAGGTGGTACTGACGTTGGGACCGGCCCTGTTGGAATGTCCGTATTTTCCTGAACATTTGTTGTTTCCCCCAGTATTGGAACTCTAGGTAGGGGTGGGGGTGGATGCAAAGCAGACGCTCTGGCTTGTTGTGGTTGTTGTTGTTGTTGAAGCTGGGCAATTAGTTTTGCCTGTTGAGCTACAACTTCTGCCTGACGTACGGCGACCTCCGCTTAACGAGCAGCATCCTGCTGCATGGCCTACATGGTCTCTTGGAGTTGACGCATCATTTCCTCCATACTGACTGTAAAGCGTGGATCTGACAAAACTGGTGTGTGTTCCCTCTCTGAGGTAGAAATAGTTACATGATACCTACTGCACACAGGTGGGGTAGACAAAGTCCTTTGAATTGACTGTTGTACTGATGATTTGTGCCTAGACGACCTCTGTCTCGTAACCGATGATAATGCAACAAATACTGGTTGTCCGTCAACTAGATCCTCAAATCGATGAATTCTCCGAACTCTGGTCCAGAGTGCTTGGGGGGTATCTGCCTCGTCGGAAGCAATGATGCAATACAACCTTGCAAAAAGGAAAATAAAGCAAAATAAGGAAACAAAAAGCAAAAAAACGGACAGCATTTCAGCTTAGATAAAAACAACACAGAGTTGATAGTCACAAGCTGAACAAACTGTTCTCAAACACTGATCTCTGCCCCCAAATCACTGTCTCAAATCCGATATCCCAAAATACTGATGTCCTCAGACTGATACCCAGACTTGTAACTGATACATACATTCCTGTAGAGTTTCACTCTAAAAGCACGTATAAGGCAAGTAAGAGTCAAAACACCCCTATAATGGGGTAGGGTTTCCCTGTCCTATTTTGTCAGGAACTAGGGTTTCGTTACGCACGCATGCGGTTTCAAATAACCTACAATCGGGTAAGCAACCTGTCCTAGTTTGGAATGGTCTCTATGGCCTCCGATATGCAACTAGGACGAATGGTCCAAAAGGGTGCCTCGGTAAAACCAAGGTTTGTGTTCCCATTGTGGCAGAGCCCGTAACCGGTCTGCCTTATGGCACGCTTTTCCAAGCAAGCCTCCAGCAAATCGTTCAGGAATAGCAGATGGCAAACACTGTGACATAAGCGCACCAATGTAAATGCAATGCAAAGAAACACATAAATGTATATAAAACAACATATCATGAGTTTAAGTCAAGTTCTCTAAATCCCCAACAAAGTCGCCAGAATCTGTAGACTGCTCCAAACTCGCTCCGCACGCGAGGGTGAGAATTTGGGTTCTAGCTACTACAGTTCGGACTCCTGTCACGGTTCTGAATCTAATCTCACAAAGTGCAATGTAAGACTAATAAATCACTAAAGAGTCCTAATCCAGCAATTGGTTTTGGAAAATCAATTTTGTATCAAAAAGCGCCAAACATGGACTGCTTTGCCAGATTACAGAGTCACCACCTAAATATTTTGTTTTTTTGGGAAAATTTAGGAAAACCTGACTCGTGCCAAAGGCCACGTGTCCGTCATCACCAAAGTTGCCTCCGCTCGGAAACTTGGATATGAGAGGGGAAGGTCCTGAAATGAGCACCCTCGCTCGCCTGATCAAAGGATCGACCTCCACTAAAAATGATATGTTGTTTTTATAAACACATGTGTTCTTGTCTGATTATTAGCTAACTTACTATGTGATGTGCACAGCAAACAAGTATAGACTCAATCACAAGAATTGGAACAAAATAACTTATGTTTGTTTTTCGAAAACGGTTTGAAAGTGCTACTCGTAAGCAGGCTAAAGCGTGAATTTGCCACCCTCAAGTGGGCTTAAAACATGATTTGCCACCCTCAAGTGGGCTTAAAACTCACAATCATCGAATTGTTCCAATTCTGGCAATCAAGCCCCCACCCACAGTCATTCAAGCAGTTATATCAATTAAGCAAATAGCCTCATGGCAAGCATGCTGTCATGGCAACACTCACACTCATGTAAGGATGCTAAAGCGTAAACACTTACAGTGTACTCCGAGCCAAAATAGAAAACTAGTTCACTACTACAAATACAGATAAAGATCACACTTTTTTTGTGTGATGTATGTGTTTTAATCACACCTTTTAAGTTTTATTAAAGTGTGGTCTTTGGGAGTGTGATTAAAAGGGGTCATTTTTAATCACACTTTTTAAGTGTCATTAAAAATGATTTCATCACATCTTTTAAGTGTGATTAATAATATTTAGATCACATCTTTTAAGTGTGATTAATAACTAAGAAAATCTGCGATAAAAAAAAGAATTTGACATATTTGAAGAATAATCAATATTATTTTTGTACGCGCATTTCAAGAATGTAATACACACTATATACTATACTTTGAATCACAATAAGATATTGAATGGAATAACGTCATATATTTCATAAATGAAAGTTAAATATGTTCAAAATTATATACAGAGGGATTAAATAAAAAGTTTTACATTGTGCTTACATATATTAAAAAATGAAAAAATTTGAAAAATTAAGTTCTTGAATTCTTTGACCATATTTTGCATCTCTCTAAGAAATTTCTAACCTGAAAAATAAAAACACAAATTAATTCAGAAACCGCTAGAAGCATATGAATAAACTAACTGTTTGTAGAGATTGTTCTAGTCTCACAAAAGATAAAGTCCGACTGATCACAGCCTTTCAAATGTCTTAACATTAAATACCTCTAGCATGACATGAAGCGTGTAAAAATAAAATGTCACTTTACCCACATAAATTGCAAATTCAACAGAAATTTTACTATAACCAACAACTTAGTTTAAGAGGCTCTACCAATCTCAAATATTTAATGTTCTACAAAAGAAATGCAATTGAATGTTAATTGTGCAAATACCTTGAGTGCATTTCAGATATCAGCGACCATTCTTCATCATCTTCTCCATTTGAGCTCCTAGAAACTCTTCTAAACGCTTGGGAGGTTGGCCAGAGTTTCCTTAGAAAGAAGAAAAAAAACTCAACTCCTTGGGTATACACATACTAGTAATTGCACATTTGTAAAAAAATGTTCTAGATACCATCATATACAAAGTCACATAGAGATATAATCCTAAAGTATAACTTGGGGGGTTCAAAATTCCCATATTAGAATTGACTACCATTTGCAAATTAGCACCATTACCTTCCATGAAGAACATTGACATTATCTTTTGTGGAACTCGACTAGATATCCAGTTCAAATACTCTAACACCTCTCTGCAATGCTTGTATGATCGGGACATCACTGCAGTCACTCCTTAGTTGATTTCCCATTAGATACAAATTATGGCCCGTATATACAAAATAGTGAGATAAATGAGCTGTCATATCATGATGAATCTAAAATTTTTACAAATAAAAGACAAACAATAACTATTCAGTCTCAAAACGAAAATTAAATATAGAATACACAGTGATATAATGGCATCTCCAACCCTTGACTGAAACCTATATCAAATTTAAATTTGGGTAAAAATCACTCAAAAACCTCTCCACTCATAGACTCAAACTTATTTTGAGTAAGAGAGATCGTAAAATGTTCTAGGACAAGGAGATGGTCTTGTTCACCTACAGGACCAGACAGCAAAATTCTTGGGCTTATAGTGGAATCCTTGGACTCACTATGCTTTATGTGTAGAACAAAGGATGCCAACAAATAATATTTTGTCCTGTCACTGAAAGAAATGAAAAACTAAAATTTCCATTACTGGCTTGCAATAGTATTAAAACCCATGGAAAACCATAGCAGCCCCTATAAATGAGACTAACATGGTCAAGTAAATGAGCTTAAATTAGAACTACAAAGTACAATTTCATAGCATTAAAGATATGTGAAAGGTAAACTGAGATGAACAATGGAGGTGTAGAAAGATATGTGAGTGCATATAAAATTTGAGCCATTTTTCGAGCCACAGATTCGAGCTACCAATCTTTTCTGAAAATTTAACTACTATAGCATCAAATATAACATTTTTTTTGTTAGTCATCAAATCCCAGATGGATAATTAAACATCTCAATCAAATACAAAAATAAAAATTTAACTACTATAACATCAAATACAAAAAAATATATATATAAATTTTAATATTGTAACAAAAACTAATCACCATGTTTGATTCTTAAATTCTGACTTCAATTTTTAAAAAATTTAAAAACTTTTATTTGGTTATCTAAAAAATCAGAAAAACAAAATCAAAATTCAATCCATGAAATTTGCAATATATCTGTACGTTCAAGACCTGAATATATCCTTTTTCATTGATTTTTTACTTTGATATTTTATGAAATATTAGATAATGCTGTTGATGAGGCACAAGCAGGTTTTGCTTCAAAGATAGATGTCATCTTACATGCGGACAATTCAGTGAGCATTACTGACAATGGGCGTGGGGTATGTTTGTATTCTACTTTCTGTAGCCAAGTAGGAGTTCTCTTAGGTGTAAAGATTTGTTGAGGCATAAACCAGACTGTTTCTTTGCAGGGGACGTATTGAGATTCTTGACATGGATGCTTAATGTTAGCATGCTCTCACATGACTATATGCTCGGTTTTTGTGTGCACGTGCATGGGTCCCTATTTAGCCACATTGCACATTGTTGAATATTCTAGCAGTTTGCTTGATTTTCTACGGTGTGATACAAAATTGGATGAATGTGATGTTGTGAAAGAGATGTCCCTCAAATGGTATTTTGCATGATATGCTTTTATATGCAAATAATAATTTTTTTTCTTTCTTGAGAAAATTATTATCTGCCTTATGTACATAGAAATATTAACAAGGCAATTAACAAGGCACAAAATTTTGATTAACAATTTTGTCATGTGAAAAATAAATAGAAAAATATTCATATTTCACATTCTATAAAGAAATATTCCTACATTTTGGAATCTACATCTGGATCATAAATAAGACTAGTCATAGAAACATGGGCCAAACCTCTGTAATCAATTTGTACATGATCTTAATTAACAATACACCCCATAAGTGGTTCATCAGTCACCACTATTTTAAACTTCAGTAAAATATCGCTTTCAATATGATTGAAGTTCACCTAAGAAGTTCAAATCCATCCTTGCCACTGCTTAAGCTTTTGTCCAAAAAGTTCCTTTTATGGTTTATGATGCCTTTGAGTTAACACCACTTTCGATTCTTGAAGCATTCTTAACAAGAGTTGAAACCAAAAGTCTTAGCCATGCAGGATTGGTACCCACTATAGTACAGCTTAGGAATACTATCTGTTTTTCTCTCATCAATGTAGCGCACACATGGGACAAACACAACATCACAAATATGCTAACACAGCAATTCCTAAGAAACTAGGACATGCACACGATAAGGACACCAAATCATATTACTATTCATATACTTTTGATGCATATAATGTAAGAAAAATTTGATGTAAATAAATATCTAAAAATTCTACATACAAATGCAAAATATGAAAGACGAAATCCCACAAATGCCATATATAATGTACACCTCTTAGAAATGTTTCAAAATATATTTGGGGTGGTGGGTTGCATTCCCAAGAAAGTCAAACCTTTGTCATGCTAAGAGATTCACCACATAGGTCTTATTAGAGACTCTAAAAACTGTTGTCAAAATGGAAACAGGTCCTCCCTAGAAGTGTCCATGCTACTAATACTCTCATTACTTGGTGACATTTCTGATTCGCTATCTTGTATTTAAAAATTTTATGTCCTCGAATAAGTCATGTTGTGCCTCTTTAATTTGATAGAATGGGTTGTTAAAGAAAATTACTATCCATGTAAATGGCCCAGACACCCTTTTCTTTGTTTTGCTACTTCAATTGCAAATCAAAAGACATACGCACAGAAAGCAAAAAAATAAAAGAAGAAATAAAATTTAAGTGCCCTAAATGTAACATAATGCCTCTCAGACATTCATGCTATTCTAATTAGCATAAATGGCGACAATATGAAATTCCATGATCAGTCTTTGGGACAAACAAAACTCCAGAAAGTGAATGTACCTTAAATTTTGCTACAACACTTAACTTTTGGGAGTCTGTTCCACCTGATTTATATAGTGCACCAACAACAGGCTTCTCAGATTGAACAAGCAAAGACGATGCAAAAACCTGAGGAAGGTGGCATTTGCAAGAAGATAATAGTTGAATGGTATCCAAGTGTAATAAATCACGATTCTTCTCCAGAAACCCACTTGTTTGTTTACAAAGTTTCTTTTTATTAAAAAAAATTATGAATAAAATAATTAGTTTATTGATTAGCTGTTAGTCTTTTGATTACAATTAATTATGTATTTCTTTAATTGTGGCAGTTACACTCTATGAATTTCTACTATGTTATAAATATCAGGAGAAAAAAGAGAAACAACACTAATTTAGCTCACCTCAATATCATCATAAGCATAATGAATCCAGTTTTCTTATTATGTAAAAGGAAAAAAAAAGAAAAAAAAAGAAGCAAATGACTTGATTTTAAACATCATCCACAATTAACAGCAGTTTACTTTTTTGGAAAATTCTTGTAGACTATTAATTCTAACTGGACATTTCACATGGATTTGCAAGCCAAAATGTGAACTAGATTGTCTATGAAGGCCTATGGGAAATAAACTGAGCCATTCCACTATCATGGTGGTAGAAAGCTCCATCATACCATGCTCAACACTAAGTTTGAAGGTAGAAACTTATGCACTAAATTCATTTCATACAAAATTAATTCCAAATATCTCAACAAATCTTCAAGGAATTAATTTGGTTCACTAAATTAACAAATCTCCTTTCCTATATACCAGCCACAAACATTTTACTTATAATCTTTTCATTTATACCTCAGTAGTTTCTTAAATGATTAAAGCACTATAACTTTTAAAAGGAAGTCTTATATGTACCTCTTCGGGGTGATAAAGGGACATTTTAAGCACATCTGTATGCCATGACTCCCTAGGTGCAAGAGGGATACTACGAAATGTCACACCAAATAATAACTCAACCAGCACCTTCAAACCCTCTATACATTGTGTCAAAGGAAAATATGATGCTACAACCTGCAAAAAAAATCAAGGACAATCATTGCAATTTCTGAATCTAAAGTATAAAATAAATTATTCAACAATCACAACCCAGAAATCTTCTAAACATAGGAAAAACCTTAGAATTGCCTAAAGTCATCGGTCGACCACAAAATCCACTAGAATTATGTGGACTGTGAGAAAACAGCAATTAAGAGAAAACAGCAATTAAAAAAAATCAAGGACAATCATTGCAATTTCTGAATCTGAAGTATAAGATAAATTATTCAACAATCACAACCCAGAAATCTTCTAAACATAGGAAAAACCTTAGAATTGCCTAAAGTCATCGGTCGACCACAAAATCCACTAGAATTATGTGGACTGTGAGAAAACAGCAATTAAGAGAAAACAGCAATTAAAAAAAATCAAGGACAATCATTGCAATTTCTGAATCTGAAGTATAAGATAAATTATTCAACAATCACAACCCAGAAATCTTCTAAACATAGGAAAAACCTTAGAATTGCCTAAAGTCATCGGTCGACCACAAAATCCACTAGAATTATGTGGACTGTGAGAAAACAGCAATTAAGAGAAAACAGCAATTAAAAAAAATCAAGGACAATCATTGCAATTTCTGAATCTGAAGTATAAGATAAATTATTCAACAATCACAACCCAGAAATCTTCTAAACATAGGAAAAACCTTAGAATTGCCTAAAGTCATCGGTCGACCACAAAATCCACTAGAATTATGTGGACTGTGAGAAAACAGAAAACATAAGCATGTTGCTTACCAAGGAGTCCAAGCTGTAAGCAGAAGACTTCATCAACCATGTGAAGTATGCTTCGTCCCAAGGGTCTAGGTCACTATTTATTTGTCCGTTCTTCTCTCTCTTAAAATCCCAAATTCTCTTAAACTCCTACAGAGACAGCAACTTCTCATCTAAGTACATTTATTGCGACAAATTCAGCAGCCAGAAAGCTAAGTATCACCATTTCAAGCCTTAAACTCATGTGCTGAACATAATACCTTATCAGCTTTGGGTCTGACCATTTCACTCGTCTCAAGCAAAACAGAAATGTCTAGCTATAGTTACTTACTGATATTGATATTGACCAAGTGGGATCTCTTCCCTCCGGAGGCAGGGCTCACGGCCGTGACTCTGAAACTTCTGAACGAGCACATTATGCAATATCACCAAGTGCTCAACTGGTGACGTCTGAGTCTCAAGGTCGGTCAAAAATGGGGTGTCTACACCTTTCCATTCACACAGTAGCCTCGTTTGTTGCTCTCAGTCATCCGCCGCCGCTCGCCCGTTGTCTGCCGCTCTCTGTCGTCTGCCGCCGCTCGCCGTCGATCGATCGAGAGAGAGAGAGAGAGAGAGGGGGGGGACGAAAAGATTAGGAATTTTTTGGGTTTGAGATTGGGGATTTTTTTTGTTGGGGGAGGGGGTGGGAAAAAAATTAGAGGGGGAAGCGGGAATGTAAAAAAATAAAGAGGCGGGAATGAAAAATAAAAATAAAAAATATAAATAAATAAATAAATTTATTTTTTGTTAAAATATATATTTTTTTGTAGTTAATGAATTTTTTTTAATTTAATTTATTTGTTTCATTTTTATTTTAATGAAAAAAAATATTATTATTTTTTATTTCGTAGAAGTATGGGTAATATATATTTTAATGAAAACTATTTTCCACCAAAATAAAAGTTAATTTTTTGTAGTCAATAAAAATATTTTTCTACGGCCTATTTGTTTTTATTACTAAAAATCATAAACTAATTTTTTGTGGTAGATGAAAATGAGCAGCAGTAGTGGTGAAGGTGGTGGATAAGAGATGGTGGTGGTGGTAATGGTGATGGCGAAAGAGATTAGTGATGAAGTTGTGGTAGTGGTAGTGTAAATGGAGTGGCAGGGGTGAAAGAAAAGTAATGGTAGTAGTAGTGACAGTAGTGGTGGTAGTGGAGTGGTGGCGATAGTAGTAGTAATGGTAGTCGTAAAGGTGAAGTAGCGACAGTGGAAATAGTGGTGGTAGTGGAATGACGTTTGCAGTAGTGGTGAAGGTGGTAGAGGAGATGGGTGGTGAGAGAAAGAAATGAGTGAGAGAGAGATAGAGGAGAAAGAGAGAGACAAAGTGATGAGCGAGAGAGAGACAAAGTGGTTGCTAAAAGTGCATTTTCTTGTAGTGGATCGATAAATCGAGAGGGAGCTCAGTAAATAGAGAAGATGGGAGTGAGAGAGTGAGCAACGCAAACACAGTGGGAGAGAGAGAGAAAAAAAAAGAGAAAGAGAGTGAGAGTGAGAGACAGAAAAGAGACATAGAGAAAAGAGAGATGGATAAGAGAGACAGAGAGAGATAGAGAGAAGAGAGATGAGCGAGAGAGACATAAAGATAAGAGAGATGAACGAGAGAGACAGAGAGAAAGATAAAGAGAAGAGAGATGAACGAGAGAGATAAAGAGAAGAGAGATGAGCGAAAGAGACAGAGAGAGAAAAGAGATGAGAGAAGAGATAGATGAGTAAGAGACACAGAGAGAGAGTGAGAGACAGATAGACAAACAGATAGAGAGAGAAGAGTGATGAGTGTGAGAGAGAAAGAGAAGAGAAAAAGGAATATGAAAAAGTGGATGAAAAGAAATGGACAAAGAGAGAGAGAGAAAAAAAAAGAGAGCGAAAAGAGATAAACGAGAGAGAGACAAAGAGAGATGAGCGAGAGAGCGAGAGAGATAAAGAGAAGAGAGGGAGAAGAGAGACAGAGAGAGAAGAGAGATAAAGAGAAGAAAGATGGACGAGAGACACAGAGAGAAAGAGAGAGAGAGAGACAAACAGACAAACAGACAGACAGAGAAGAGTGATGAGTGAGAGAGAGAAAGAGAAGAGAGACAGAGACATAGAGAGAAAGAAAGAGACAGACAGACAAAGAAGAGTGATGAGTGAGAGAGACAGAGACACATAGAGAGAGAGAGACAGACAGAGAAGAGTTATGAGTGAGAGAGAGAAAGAGAAGAGAGACAGAGAGATAGAAAAATGAAAAAATAGGTGAAAAGAGAAATGTTCAAAAGAGTAAGGCAACGTCTTTTTTATTTTTATTTTTATTTTTTGTAACAGAAAAATACCGTTGCATTTATTTAAACCATTTTATGACTATATATATATTAAGCCGTCTCAAAGCCACAATATATATATATATATATATTTTAACTTTTTTTTTTTTTTTTGCAATGGTACGTATTACAATCGCAAAAAACTCTCCTTTTTTTTTTTTTTGCAACTGCAGCTGGTATCGTCGCAAATACTCTTTTTTTTTTTGCGACAGCAATTTCTATCATCACGAATACTCTATTTTTTTGCGATGCCAAGTTATGTCGTCTCAAAAAGTCACATTTTTAGGCAACGGCAAGTTGTGCCGTCTCAAAAAGTCACATTTTTTTGAGACGGTAAGTTCTGACGTCTCCAAAAGTCACATTTTTTGCGACGACAAGTTGTGCCGTCTCAAAAAGCCACATTTTTTAGCGACGGCAAGTTGTGCCGTCTCAAAAAGTCACATTTTTTGAGATGGCAAGTTATGCCGTCTCTAAAAGTCATATTTTTTGCGACAGCAAGTTGTGCCATCGCAAAAAGTCATTTTTTGCGACGGCAAATGTGACGTCGCAAAAAGTTCCGCCTCATAAGCCCACTTTTCTTGTAGTGTGGTGTGGTTATGAGATATGTGATTATTAGTTAGAGAAGAGTTAACCCATCAACTTAAGGCATACATTTGATAAAAAGAAAGAGAGGATTCATCTTCTCCGCATATATAATTTCTTCTTAAACACGCGATATACGCTAACATTCTTGAGACAACAAGTATTGCAACTTCATCACATCTGATTAGATACCATTTATATAACAATATTAATAGCAACTAATGCTCTTAGCGACAACGCGCTTACAGCTTTCCAAGCTCTACACTTGGTTACAATAAGAAGAGGTGATCACTCAATACATCTTAAGGCCCTTGGCTTGAATTTACATGTAATACATCAAAAGAAAGCAATAACAAGTCAGTCTGTCTCCAATCTAGACCAGCTACTGTCTTGGAGATAGGGTGAGCATAAGTTCGTATTGGACTCCGGTATTGGCGATAAGAGCAGAATCAGGACGCAATGCCGTTAAATCTACGGTTTCATAAAAATGTATAGCCAACAGTCCCAATCCGTTTAAATCATGGGAAAAACCCATCCGATACGCAGATACTACATTATGTTAAAAATAATCGGCGATTGATCGGTTTCGGACGCACAGGATTCAACATAATTAAATAACATAAAAGATAAATTATAATACGTACCACACTTTAATAATTTTCATAAAAAATATTCAAGCTATAATCATAAACCTCTCAGCCATTATTAGTTCCACAATAGCTAACATGATATGCTTGAACATATATATCTCTATAATAGGACATAGAATATATATATGCTAGAGATTCATTTAAACAATTTTATGGGTCTGACACCATGCATAAGAAAAACTGGTTTCACCATATATCAACGTATTTTCGTCACGCTGTGCATCCCATGCTAAACAAATTAAAACTAAAAACTATAACAAACACACAAGAAATGTAATAAATGAGCAAAGATATTATTATTAGCCTATAGCGGTTTTACAGGTTTTAAGTTAGTTTAGGATCTTTTATTATAGAATAAGAGAAGATATTATGGGAGAAGGATTATACATAAAATATATACTATTTTGTATATACAGGTCCGGATGGTCCAATCTCGGAAGCCGTGGGGTTTCAATCTGAGAACCAAATCCGTGTATATAACGGAATTTTTAAATTTTTGCAAGTTCCGGACCCAAAGAACCATGGATTCTGAATATAAATCACCCATACAACGCTTAAAGTCAATTGGAACTGGACTGATCGGATTATTCGGTTTCAACAGGGATATTTCCTTCGTGCTGCAGGCCCTAGGTGGACATGCTACCTGGATAATTTTACCGGGGATGTCCCCACCGAGTGAGCCACAGCCCAGTAGAATACACTAAACAGGCCATGAACAATGACTAACAAGATTAGCAGTTGATAGATGGTCAACAATTTCCAGATACAACATCCACAGTATAGTGATCACATGTTTCGATTTCATGATTTATCAGCTCCATGTTATCACTTTTTTCATTTCCGCATGTCTTCTTCCAACTTTGAGTTCTCGAAAAAACTAAGGTCCAATCAACGTACTTTTTGTTGTAGCCAAAGAATAAAACTAATGAGATGTGTAGACTCAATATATAAACACTGTACAAATTCCATGATGATCGGATTACACATTTTAATTGCTTGTATCAATGACAATAAGAACCATTCCTCGGTCATTTGTAGGAGCAGCGGATTGCGAAAGAAGTAAGCATTTTGGTGCTGAGTAGGCCACAACATAACTAATAACTCTTAATACTTTTACAAACATGTGATAACTGATGATATACAGTCTTCTGTGCTAATACCGATGAACGATGACCTCAAATAAATTCAAACTCTTTCCATAATCAACACTTGATACAGCACTTTGTGAGTGCTTGGTAATCAATGTCAGAACACTCAAAAATCCGGTTTAGAGGTCCATCCCCTATTCTTCCCACTAAACCTTGTGGAGTACATTCTCCATTCATCCTCCACACAACACATGTATAATAAACATAGATCATAGATCAATAATCATACATTAGAGTTAATGTAATATTCAGTTGCTTAATTATTCAATACATAATACAATCGATTAAGTTTTTAGTTGTGCCCAATCATCAATGGCAGTATCAACATCAAGACTATCCCTTTTCACCGATAGCGTCCAAAGGCAGTTATTTTCTATAAGACTTGAATAAATGCAAAACCAAATGGATATATAGATCAACATGTTCAACTAGGTGAGGTGCGATGAATCGAATCAATCTAACCCCTTTTAATCCATACACCTCCAATTCAACATTCTTCAATTTAATTCATCTTTTTCCTCAATTAATTAATACCAATTAATTTATCAATGTATTTAGAGCATTTCCCATAGTTTAACATCACAACCCTAAGTTCCATTTTTCATCATAAAACCACTTATTGATCTCATTTCTCTATGCAAACATGCAT